AAAATAAAATTATTATTATAAATATATTTTGTTAATATTTAACTTATTCCAAATGATCTGATAATTAAATTCATTAAAAATAAATAATTAATAATAAAAAAAATGATTGCATAATGGATTGTACACTGTCAGATTGTTGGATCGTTCGACCTTTACAACCTTTGGAAAAAGAAATAAATATATTGTGAGATTGTAAATGAGGACTGAGGAAGTCCCGAGCATGTCGATCAATCGGAACCAACTTACTGTGGCAGTCACGTGATAATGGTATCATTTTCTGATTTTATCTTAATATTTTGTGTAACAACTACACCACATACTGCGTCATGTTACACATGTATATCATCACATCATTACTATTTTTAACTTATTTTATGACATAATTATTTACTTTTAATTATTAATTCAATTATTTGTAATAATGACTCATAGCATTAGTAATTAACGATTAGTAAGCTTGTATTACAGAAAATAGGATTAATAAGCATATACATCAGGAAAATGGGTACAAATATTATGCATATTTAATACGCAATTGCAGGGATTAAGCATATAATATATGTACAATTTGCATACATAAAAAAATACACGATTTGTATGCATATTATATGCTTAATCCCTGCAATTGTGTATTATATACGCATAATATTTGTACCCATTTTCCTGATGTATTATTGGACAAAATATTGTAAAGGTCATGTTATTTGTAATACCTCAAGAGGTATAAATAGGCTTGGTTTTAGACCAAGTAAGAATCATCATGTTCATGATACCATAATAATAATCATATAATAATAACCTTGTAATAATATTATCACTAATAAAGACACATAACACTTTTACAATAAATCAAGCTTTTATTAAAATCTTTAATAAACCTTTGCTGAAAAGCATTTCCCACCTTGAATTAAGACCATACTAACTAAGGGACACCTTAGTCAGACAGTGGAATATTTATTGATTATTTTTAGGCATTTGCCAGCAGTACTTCCATTAGTACTGTAGAGAGAGATTGCGCAAGAGAGAGAGAGAGATTTGAGTAGGCTCTGAGCTGTGTGCTGATACTAAAGATGGCTCCTCAATTAGTTGCAACTAATTGTGGTATACAAAAATTAAATTGCGGTTGCAGTTGCAGCATATGAAGATTGAATTGTGGCTAATTGCGGTTCCCATCTTTAGCTGATACAGAGGCCTGGTATAGACTTGAGAATCCTGAGCTGTGTGCCGATACAGGGAGATTAATATATTGGACTTTTATTTATTTATTTTACCTTATATATTTTATTGGACACAACCCGAGCTGTAATTGAATTTACACACTCACAATATTAATAATAAAAAAAATATGATCACGTAATGGATTATACAATGTCAGATCATCAGATTGTTCAACCTTGCAACCTTTGGAAAAAGAAATAAATATATTAATATAATCACACATACCTTTTAATAATAGCAGTAACATCAGTGC